CCTCTCTCTCTCTCCCCTCTCCCTCCCCCCCCAGCAGTGTCCAGTGTCTCTTGTTCCCACCTTGTGCTCATGTGTCCAATGATCAGGGCCCACTTATGAGTAAGAGTATGTGGTATTCAGGTTTTTGTTTCTGTGATGGTTCACTTAGAATGATGGTCTCTAGTGGCATTTATGTTGCTATAAAGGACACGATTTTGTTCTTTATGACTGCGGAGTATTTCATCGTGTCAATGTACGTTTTCTTTATCTAGTCCCCTTTCCATGCAAACCCTATTATTTATTTATTTTTTTGAGTTGGAGTCTCACTTCATCACCCAGGCTGGAGTGCAGTGGCACACTCATGGCCACCCCAGTGTTGACCTGCTGAGCTATGGCCATCCTCCTGCCTCGGCCTTCCAAGTAGCTGGAACTATAGGCTTGCGCTACAATGTCCGGCTAATTTTTTGATTTATTGTGGAGATGAGGTCTTGCCAAGTTGCCCGGGCTGGTCTTGAACCATGGGCTCAAGCAATCTGCTCACCTCGGCCTCCCAAAGTGCTGGAATTACAGACTTGAGCCACTGCACCCAGCCTTTCATGGTGATTTGATACTACCATGGCAGTCTGGGGCAGTTGGCTGGGAAAAGATGAAGATGGTAACAGTATCTATGACACTGATGTCTAAATAGTTAGGCTACATTACAGTGCTCTTTGTTCTTATCACGCAACCTGAACAGAGGCTAGAGCAATCGGAGGCAAACAACCAAGAAAATCAGGTATATGGAAGACAAAATTCAACACTGATCTGTGGTATGCTGTAGGGGCCAGCCTGAGCCCCTGGTTACTGCGATGTAGACTGGCCTGTGAGCTACACTCCAGCAGATGCCAAGAGTTGCCAATTCTACCCATCTTTTGACTCTTTACCTTGAACTTCATAGAACCAATATTTTATTATTATTATTTTTTTGAGTTGTGTCTCACTCTGCCGCCCAGGCTGGAGTGCAGTGGCACACTCGTGGCCACCGCAGCCTCGACCTCCTGGCCTCAGGTGATCCTTCCTCCTCAGCCTTCCAAGTAGCTGGAATTACAGGCATGCGCCACCATACCTGGCTAATTCTTTGATTTATTATTTTAGAGATGAGGTCTCACCAAGTTGCCCAGGCTGTTCTCGAATCCGTGGGCTCAGGCAATTCTCTCACCTTGGCCTCCCACAGTGCTGGGATTATAGGCCTGAACTACTCCGCCCTGCAGAACCAATATTTTAAATGATACTTGGGCTAAAATAATGAGCAAAGGTGTTGAGCAGATAAGATATCAAAACTACACATCTCCAATAAACATCATAAATAACGTTCAACTTCCTTAGTAATCAAAAAAATACCAAGAGAGAAAAAAACCCAACTTTTTCCCCTACAGATTAGCAAAGATTAGGAATAACTAATGTTGGCAAAGACATGGAAAGATGGGCCCTCATATAGAGAAAAATGAGTTATAACTTTTCTCCAGAGTAATTTGCTGTGATGTATTGTATACGTCATTAAAACATGTTCATTCTTTGGTCTGGCAATTTCACTTCAAGGAAATTGATTCTAAGAAATTAATCTGAGTTATGCACAATAGTAGTTTTGGACTATATTTATTTCAACACTATGACTGAAAAATTAGAGGTAACTCATATCCAACAATAAGAGAATCGATACGTATGTTACAGTACAGAGATAAACTCGTAGAATATTGATGTAGCATGATTTTCTTAATATAATGCTAAGTGGGAAACAGGAGAAAGCAGTATGTACGGGGGACCCCAAAAAAACACAATTATTTTTTGGAGAGCAAACCTCTGATAGTACTGGCTTCCCCTGCTAGGTGAGTGTTCCAGGAACCCATGGACATCAGTGTACCAGCTAGCATTATTGTGAGAGACTGAGTTTGGCTTCAGTGAAATTTTTTTTTTTTTATATTCTTTCAATGCATTTACCCACACCATGTAGAATGTTCAGCAGCTTTTAACCAAAAACTGCATGACCTCCATGCCCCACCCTATTCACCCAATCTCACCCTGATCGACTTTTTTTTTGTTTCCCCGGATGAAAAAAAGTTATCAGAGGGAAATGTTTTGCCATTGTGGAAGAGATGAAACAAAAAATGGCAGAAACACTAAAAGGCATCCAAACCGACGCTTCAAAAATGGTTTGAGCATTGGAAAAAATGTCTCGGTAGGTGTATGGCATCAAATGGAGAGTACTTTGAAGGTGACTGAACTTTAAACATGTAAGAATAAATACACAGTTTTTTATAAATAAATTCAGGATTTTTGGGTGGTGCCCCTTTGTATAGTGTAGGATCATTTATAAAAAACATATAACTGACTTGAGCAAGTAGAAATTAAGGGGTATAATCAGAAAGCATCTTTAGTTTTGTCTCCTACTATCCCCTTAAATACCACTGCATAAAAACAAGGGCAGTTCTTGTGACTTTTTTGCTCACTCTTAAGTAATAAAAGGCTTGGTCACTTTAAAACACAAAACACTGCCGGTCGCAGTGGCTCACGCCTGTAATCCCAGTACTTTGGGAGGCAGAGGTAAAAGGATTGCCTGAGCTCAGGGGTTTGAGACCAACCTAAGCGATATGTTGAGACCTCATGCCTACAATAAATCAAAAAGTTAGCCGGGTGTGGTGCTGCATTCCTGTAGTTCCAGCTACTTGGAAGGCTGAGGCAGAAGGATCACCTGAGCCCAGCATGTCGAGGTTGCAGTGGCCATGAGCGTGACCCTGCACTCCAACCTGGGTGACAGAGTGAGACTCGAACTCAAAGAAAAGAAAACAAAGAAGAAAGCCGCGGCTGGGCACCGTGGCTCACACCTATAATCCCAGCACTT